TCGTGCTTGCCTACTTTGCTTATAAATAGGCTGGTTTTAGAACAAAGAGAGGAGGGTTTTTTGGCTGGACAGTTTTTCTGTTGGACATCAGAAATTGAGAGAAATAGAGTGTTAAAACTGAAACTCCACATTAAGGAGTTTGAGGCTGTTTTTCTGGGGTGTTTGACAAAATCAGAAATTACTGCTTTCGTGCACCAGTCTGCTGTGTTGGGACACTGTTGGATTTCAGTTTAGCTTTCCTGGTTTCTTTACTTGTTGAACACTGTTTCAGTTGAGTGTCTTGGTTTTCTGTTGGTTTGAAAGTTCACTGGTTTTCTGTTTGGTTTAAACTTGTCGCTGGTTCCTCCTACTGGTTATTATTGGGTTTTCCTGCTGGGTTTGTTTGGGTTTCAAAAATCTGGTTGCTGGGTTGTTTGCTGTTGAGTGCTGCTTTTCTTATTGATGTTGTTGCTGTGTATGCTACTATTCCACTGATCATTCCTCTTCTTCTTTTGCTTTCCTATACTAGGTACACCACTGATACATTGTCAATGTAAGCTGAAAGTTGAAATATGAATACAAAAATGAAGAGTTGAAGCTGTTTTTTTGCTGAGTTTTTCGAATCTGTTTCAGTCTGTATATTGAACATTAAAGTTGTATATATAATAGTTCATATCTTCTATTTAGGATAATGAAGGCAGTCACCATGTATAATTAAACCTCGTGTATGGTTACTTGGTATCACCTTATGCATGTATGTTGGTAGATAGAAAAGAAGTGAGAATGTAGTAAGCGATATCTGGAATTTTAGTTGTGTTTGTGATTAGCATATCTTCTAACGCATGTTAAGTGTTAAATGGTCCATTGCTAGTTAATCTTACTCCATTTAGCAGGCTGTCTCGCTATACCTTGCAACAGTACCATTAGAATAAAATAACAACAGTTTCCATTTCAACCTTATAAATACTGGGCCTGAGTCGAATGAACTAATAGGCCCTTATAGAAAAAAGAATGGCCCAGGTCCAGTCCATACAGTGTGCGTTGGGCCTGGGCCCATGATATCTAAACGACTGCCCAGGCACGCGGTCATGTTTCGAATTTGGCAAATCATATTCGGAACCTGACTATAACTAACTTGTAAGCATGTAAATAAAGTTGGATCGTTCTTCTTCTTTCATTATTAGAGACAAACTCAATAGAAAACATAGTCGATATAGGACGACCTTTTAAATAAAACGAGACGAGCCTCGCCAAATAAAAATGCAAATTGCAGGGCCCTCAATAATTGGTCATAATAAACACTTAGAATTTGGGATGGACTGTTTAATGAATTTCACTGCCTTCCCCAAAGATAATAACGCGTTAGACTCTTTAGGCGCGATTTAATTAATCTTACCTTCTTAAACTCGGGTGTGCATTTCATGCAACCCAAATCCAAATCCCAAAACATTGAATAAAATATGTTCCGGATTGCGGGTGCATTGCATGTGACGCAATCCAAAGACATGTTTTTTAAACGATGTTCACATTCCTTAAAAATAATATGAAAGCGGTAAAGAGTTAAAATTTGCACATGAGCTCATAATTGTATAAAATCAGATAAACAAGCCGAATGTGACAGTTGAGCGACCGTGCTAGAACCACGGAACTCGGGAATGCCTAACACCTTCTCCCGGGTTAACAGAATTCCTTATCCGGATTTCTGGTTCGCGGACTGTAATACAAAGTCATTCTTTTCCTCGATACGGGATTAAATTGGTGACTTGAGACACCCTAAATCTCCCAAGTGGCGACTCTGAAATAAATAAACAAATCCCGTTTCGATTGTCCTTTAATTGGAAAAAACTCCTTCACCCCTCGCGGGGGCGGAAAAAGGAGGTGTGACAGACTCCGAAATGGAGTTCCGTCAATTTTGCTAGCTCTGTTAGGTTATTTGGACTTATGCGTGTCCGGATTGTATTTTGGAAGTCCATAGCTCATTTAGACTTGAAATGGCGAAAGTTAAATTTTTGGAGATTTGGACAGGTAGTGGAATTTTTGATATCAGGGTCGGATTCTAATTTCGAAAGTTGGAGTAGGTTCGTAGTATTGAATATGACATGTGTACAAAATTTGGGGTCAATCGGACATGGTTTGGTTGGTTTCGGCATCAGTTGTCGAATTTGGAAGTTTCAAGTTTTTTAAGTTTGAATCGGAGGATGATTTGTGTTTTTAGTAGTGTTTGATGTGGTTTGAGGGCTCGACTAAGTTCACATGGTGTTTTAGGACTTGTTTATATGTTTGGTTGAGGTCCGGGGGGCCTCGGGTGAGTTTCAGGTGCTTAACGGACTAGTTTTTGGACTTTAAAAATAGTAGATTTCTGGTATTTTTGTTGCAGACAATCCTCCATCGCGTTCACGAAAGAGGTCTCGCGATCACGTAGAGCATCTAGAAAAGATAGCTGAGTTTGTTCTTCATGTTCACGATGTCGTTCCCGCGTTCGCGAAGGTATGGAACACTAAGGCTATGCGTCCGCGATAACGACCTCGTGTTCGTGTAGAGTCAACGGTCAGATAGCTTCCAGGCATAATAGCATACGCGTTTGCGATGAGTGTTCCGCGTTCGTGAAGGGTCAGGCTAGTTGAGCTTCGCGTTTGCGGTCGATGCATCGCGTTCGCCATGAGTATATTTTTGGACTGAAGTAGCTTGTATTTCGCGAACGCGAGGCTTTGACCGCGCTTGCGAAGAAGGGCTTACTTGGGTAGAATTTAAAGTTCAAAAACGAGGGTTTTGAGTTCATATCACAAAATTGGATTGAGAGCTCGGTAGAAGACGAAATTTCGAGAGATTTTCTGAGGAATTTATTGGGTAATGATTCCTAACTCCTTTATGGTTATATCCCACTAATTTATGCTTGATCTCATCATTTAATTTTGGACTTGGAATAAAAAATTGGGAAAAGTTCGTAGGCCGAATTTTGGGGCTTTGATCGTGATTTTGGTATTGGATTGGAGTAATTTTGGTACAAGTGATCTCGTGAGTGAATGGGTGTTCATAATTGGTGACTTTTACCCGATTCCGAGACGTGGGCCCGGGGAGGATTTTTGGGCGATTTTCCAATTTCTTGCCTTAGCTTTGATTTCATTAGCTAGATTAGTTTCTTGTAGCTATATTTATGTTATGCAATTGGCTTTGGCTAGATTTGGGCCATTTGGAGTCAGATATTCGGGGAAAGAGCATTGTAACGGATTGATTTGAGTTTGGTTCGAGGTAAGTGACTTGCCTAACCTTATATGGGGGAACTGCCCTTAGGATTTATTACTGTTTGATATATGAGCGTCGTGTACGTAAGGTGACGAATGTGTACACGGGCTATATGTTGAAAAAATCCGTTTTAATTAAGTAAAATAACTGTTTTTCTTTAACTGAGCAACACTAGCATATGTAATTATTCTGTTTAGTTTAGGACAGCATGTCTACGTGTCTTAATTGCTTAGCTGAACTCTGTGCAGCTTGCTTAGTAAAATTTCATGCTTCTTCATTAACTTGTACTTAGTCTAAATTGTAGATTTTCCATGTTGTAGTTGTAATTCTATTGTTTGAGGTGCATATTTACTTTGGGACTATGGAACGGTATTCTGGGAGAACCCCCAGCACTGCATATTTACTTTGGGACCACGGAACGGTATTCCAGGAGATCCCCCTGTACATTTACGTTTGGGACTATGGGACGGTATCCTGGGAGATCCCCTGTTGTTATCTTTGTGTTTTGAGATGTTGTTCTTCTATGCTTATATTTTTGTTAAACTTCAGTATTTATCCTAACTGCGATATTTCTTTCTATTAAATTTTATTATATATATACCAGTAGGGCCCTGACCTGATCTCGTCACTACTCGATCGAGGTTAGGCTTGGCACTTACTGGGTACCATTGTGGTGTACTCATGCCCTTTCCTGCACATATTTTTTGTGTGCAGATCCAGGTTCATCTTACCAGCCTCATCACTAGCTGCAATCATTGCTGCTTATTGGAGACTTCAAGGTACATCTACCGCGCCTGCAGATCCTCGGAGTCCCCCCTCTATCCCCCTATGTTCATTTTTCCTTCTTTATGTAGAAATGATGTATAGAACAGTTAAGACTTCTTAGTAGCTCGTGACTTACGGCAATCCGGGTTTTGGGAATTGTTTGGTATATTTTAGAGGTAATAATTGTATATGCCGAGTGGTACCCAGTTGCTTATTAGATACTTGTTATTGTTAGTAGTTGATGTTCATGCTTTTCTTTCATTTCCGCGAAGTATTAGGCTTACCTAGTCGTAGAGACTAGGTGCCGTCACGATAAATCACGAAGGGGGAAATTGGGTCGTGACAAGGAGTTATAGTCAGTACTGTTTGGGGTATTAAAGTCAAGAAATGCAGCTTTTCCTTAAAGTTCAAATTGAAATTATTAACTTCCAAAATTTTCTTTATTGTTTATTTTTTCGATTCCCCTTCAAGAACTTTCCATCACTTAAAGAAAATGGGATTTAGTTATTGAATCATTGAGTTAAGAGTATGTAAATCCAATAACTTCGTCGATTCTTGAAGTAAAATCACAATACATGGCATTGAGAACACTGCCCTACAATCTTAGAATCAGCAAAAAGAAAAATGGGTGTAATATTACGATAAAGCAATAAATGTGGAACAATTTAAACAAATTAGAAATAAACTTACTCAAAGTTTTTAGGATAATTCTCATTTCCTTTCTGGCAACACCATTCATCAATGGCAAGATTAGGAGTTGAGATTGGCAGGTATCTTGAGTATCTCGTCATTACAAATGCTTGTTATTACTAATATATTTAAATGGTCAAGATGGACGAACACAGCAATGAGAACTTGTACTAAAGGTACTGTAAATTGTACTATAAACTTGGCACTATCTCATTAGTGATTGACTGTTCATTGCTCTCTCTTGTGGACACGTGTATCACTTCTCCCTTTTAGCAACCCATTTCTGATTCTTTATTGATAATTTGCCAAACCATTTCCTGGTAACCATTTTCTTCTCAATTTCTCCGTAGGTATTGCTCAAGGCCAGCCATACCCAGCTTATCTTCTTCTATTCTTGTAAAAATTCTACAATTGATTTTGTAAATCAAAGCTGGAATGTACCTGGTGTTAGCATTTTTATGATTGGGTCTTGGGCTTTGATTGATTATATTTATCTTTGATTTCTGCCGGTACTGGTTCTTCACATCCCTGTCTATCCTTCTCTGTTTCATTTAGCTGATTGTTTTAGTTTTTTTTTCGACCACTGATATATTCTTTAGTTGCATGTCATCATCTATTTTCTTCTTCACCCTTTCAATGTCAGATTCTATGATGGTATGTGATGGTGGCCTGATTTCGCTTTACCTTTTGGGCTTACATATTGTGATTTTTGTTAATGAAGCTAAAAGTTCGATCTCAGTAAAGCAGATTTTCACATTTTTTTTATTTATTTATTTCACATTTTTATAGTCACAATTTGTTGGGTATTTACTATTTTTGATTTTTTGGTGTGTGTATGTTAGATTATTTTTTGGGGTGTAATTTATTGTCGAAAATTCTACTTGCATGTGGTTTGATTTACTCACGCATGGTTTGAATTGATACTTAGGTGCATAATTATCACCATTTACCCAGTTGTAGAGAACAGGTTAAATGGTGCTCTTCTCCTTCATTCTCAAGAGGAATGCATCAACAAACTTTGATTCTTTGCTTTTCTAATTTCGCTAAGTCATTTGCTCTTAAAATAGGGATTATGGAGAATTAGAGAAAAATGGAAAGGTACATGTTTACTTGATCCTTTTATGCTATCTGCCTACGAAAACAACATAGTATTATGTTATTCCAATGTATGTTTGTTTACTTTACTAGATTTTCTTGGATTAACCATATTGCCACCTTTAGTTGGTTAGTTTAGTCATTTTTCTTTTTGGTTTCCTCTGTATTCTCATTAGCAACTTCTTGGCGCTCTCTCTTTCTCTCACTCTCTGCCTCTCTCTCTCAATTAGCAAGTTTTTTCCTCTTTTTTTATTTTTGTTAAGGGAAAAACATGTTTCCGCTAGAAGGAGAGATAGAGTTATTGAACAAGTGCTTAAACATTTAGTGAATATATTAGGTATTCTTACAAAATAATTATTTGTTTGGAACAGAAATGTCCACAAACGAAGATGTTGCATCGCGTCGAGCTGAAGAGGCCAAGGAACAACGACGACGTGATAGAAATCTACGACGTCGCACTAGATATGCACAAATGTCACCTGAAAGGAAACAATCATTTTTGCTGATACTGCAAGCTAAGAGAGCTGAATCAAAAAAGCGGCGACTTAATCCTCATTCAAGTAATACACTATCCTTAATGGAAACTGGTACTCAACCTTAAAGATAGAGTGCTCTTACAGTTGGTGATCGTCCGTTAGATTCAAAAAAAGGTAGAAAAGTATATTGTTCTCTAACTTATCAAAGACATTAGATATACAAACAATGTTGAATGCGCATATATAAGTATATAGTGATGAATACATCGATCCACAATCATTAAAGTGACTTTTTAGATTCTTTCAATTGTTATGTCATGCTTCTAAAGCTACAAATATGCCAGTTATTATAGATAAAGGAAATAATATGATTGATTGCATGTCCATCTTTGAAGTATGTAAGCGTCCAAAAATAAAACTATAAATGTTCCCACTATACAAATTACTTTACTGATTAGTTATACATGCGTAAACATTAAACACTGCAATATCAGGATCAACTTCAGGTACATGTAATGCAGGAATTTCTTCAACTCCAGCAGCTACTGCACATAGAGGTGTGTATCTATCTGCCCAAAATATAACAATCTCATAGTATCGCATTACTGTCTCTTTCTATAACATTGTCATAATTTATCATGTACAGGTAAAATAAATTTCGAAGTCGAATTGCAGAATGATGACTTGTTGCTAAAAAATTACGTACATTTTAAAGAAGTTCCGGATTGTAAATTTTGTGGATCAAAAAGGTTCCAATATGAACCACCAAAATTCTGTTGTGGTAGCGGATCAATAAAATTGACTTCTCATCAAATGCCTGTAGAGTTACAGAATTTATATTTAGGCAACATTGCAGAATCTAAATATTTTCGTACTTATAGTAGAACCTATAATAATATGTTTGCATTCACCTCCCTTGGTGTTAATTATGATAGAGTATTAGCAAAGAGAAATCGTGGTATATATACATTTAAAGTTCAAGGACAAATATATCACTTTATTAACGATTTAATTCCTTCTGGAAGAAAAGAAAAAAATTTACAATTGTACTTTTATGATATCGAAAATGAGATAAGGAATCGAATGAGCTTATCAGACAAGTTTAATGAAGCAGTTGTCAAGAAACTGATGGAAATACTAAAGGTTAATCCATATTCTACATTTCTAAAGTCATTAACAGATATTCCAGAATTATCTGACTTCTATATTGCACTTAAATCTAATTCTGGTTTAGACCAAAGAACATACAACTTACCTACTTCATCCGAAGTTGGGGCAATATGGATAGAAGAACAAACAAACAACAAAATTTCCACTCCGCATATTCGAATATACACTCATAGTAACAGAAGTCAATTGGTAAATTATTATTATGGATGCTATGACTCATTACAATATCCATTGTTATTCTCATATGGTCAAAATGGATGGCATTGTGGTATTAAAAAAATTAAGAAAATATATAGTCATTCAAATCACCAAATTTACTACGAATGTGAACAGCTGCCAAGTATATTGAACATGACTTCAATTGATGGGCTACTTGATATGGAATCTGAAGTTTTATCAAAAGGTAAAAGGAAAAGAGAAACGGTTTCTTGCCGTGAATATTATTGTTACAAGATTCAAATAAGAGAGAATGAACCAAATGAAACTTTACATTCTGGAAGGGTATTTCAACAATACATTGTTGACCAATACATAAAACTTGAGACTCAAAGACTAGATTTCTTTTCCTTTAACCAAGATTTGTTCAGAACTGCAGTACTACAAGGGATTCTTGATTTGTTAAGACAGGGAGAAAGAGATGCCTCAAATATTGAAAAAAAAATATTCTTCCTGTTAGTTTTATTGGAGGCCCAAGAGATATACGTCGACGATATATGGATGCTATTGCATTGGTACAACGTTATGGAAAACCCGACATATTCTTGACAATGACGTGCAATCCTTCTTGGCTTGAAATTAAAAAATATTTATTAACATCTGAAGAAGTTCAAAATAGGCATGATCTAATCAGCCGAGTATTTAGAGCAAAAGTAGAGGAACTTAAAACAGATATATTAAAAAAATATTTTTGGAAAGGTTGTAGCTTTTATGTACACCATAAAATTTAAAAAACGTGGACTTCCACATGCTCATTTCCTTATTATACTTGTAGATAGATATAAACTATTAACACCAGAGGCTTATGATAAATTTGTTTGTGCTGAATTGCCTGATCGCAATTTAGATTCCTCTTTATATTCACTTGTGACTAAACATATGATTCATGGACCTTGTGGTTATTTAAATCCTTCCAATTCTTTCATGAAAAAAGATCATTGTAAATTTAAATATCCTAATGAACTTGCAGAATATACAACGAAAGGAAAAAATTCATATCCTATATACAGAAGTCGACAAATAGAGATACCTGTAGAAGTTAGAGGATACAATATTGATAATTACAATCCATTTTTACTTAAGAAATTCAATTGCCATATTAATGTTGAAATATGTTCTGACATTAAAGTTGTCAAATATCTTTATAAATACATCTGTAAAGGTCATGACAAAATTGCATTTTTTGTGCATGGTGATAATACAAATGTACATATAGATGAAATAAAAGAATATCAATCAGCTAGATGGGTCTCTCCACCAGAGGCAGCATGTCGTCTATTTGTTTTTCCTATAAGTGAAATGACTCCAAGTGTGATGCAACTTCAGTTACACCTTGAGGGACAACAATTTGTATCCTTTAAAACTATCCAAAATATACATCAAATTGTAAATAATCCAATGACAAGGAGGACAATGTTAACATAATTTTTTGTAATGAACAGTACCAATAAAGATGCTAAAGCTCTAAATTTATTATATAAAGAGTTCCCAGAGTATTTTGTATGGTCACCAACTGACAAAATATGGTCACGTCGACAACGAGGTACTGCTATTGGAAGAATTGTAATGTGTCATCCAACCGAAGGAGAAAGATACTATCTAAGGCTACTTTTAATGAATGTAAGAGGACCTAAATCATATGCAGATCTTTGCAACGTAAATGGAAAATGTTGCGATTCATTTAGGGAAGCTGCAGAAAAGCGAGGCTTATTGCATTGTGATAACAATTTAATTGACTGTATGTCTGAAGTTGTGAATTATTAAATGTCTTATAGTTTAAGATGCTTATTTGCTACATTATTAGTTTACTGCAATCCTGCAAATCCAAGAGAACTATGGGAAAAATTTGAAGAGCCTATGTCTCAAAATTTCAAGAGAATTCCAAATTTGGGAACAAAAAGGAATCGACATTTAGTTTTGAATCATATTAATGAAGTCTTACATTCAATGGGACACAATATATACGAATTCAAATTTACTTCTGAAATTATTGTACTTCCTTCACCAGCTAACGAGGCAAAAGATGTTCAGTTTGAGAGAAATATAATAGTAAGTGAAGAAGATTTACTCTTAGAAAAGAAATTAAACTCTGAACAAAGAAGAGCATAACATATTATTCTTGATAGAGTATATTATGATAAACCAGGAGCATTTTTCATTGATGGTCCCGGAGGAACGGGAAAAACATTCTTGTATCGAGCTTTGTTAGCTAATATAATATCAAAAGATTTTATAGCTTTAGCAACTGCAAGTTCTGGTGTTGCAGCTTCAATTCTACCTGGAGGACGAACAGCTCATTCGTGCTTCAAAATTTCTATAGACATTGATGAGAATTTTACATGTAATATTAGTAAACAAACAACATTAGCAACTCTAATTCAAGATTCAAAGTTAATTGTTTGGGATGAAGTTTTAATGGCAAAAAAGAAAATGATTGAAGCTTTCAATACCCTTTTAAAAGATCTCATGAATACGAATATACTCTTTAGTGGTAAAGTTGTAGTTTTTGGTGGAGACTTTCGGCAAACACTTCCCGTTATTCGTAGTGGGAAAAAAGAAGACTTTATTTGTGAAAGTTTACTATATTCTGATATTTGGAATGATCTTGAAAAGTTGTGGTTATCAGAAAACATGCGTGCAAAAGAAGATCCTGCTTTTTGTGAGTATTTAATGAGAATTAGAAATGGAAAAGAAGAAACTAACAACTCGAACAAAATTGAAATTTCACGTAATTTTATCATTCCTTTTACCACTGAAACACAATCTTTAAATCAATTATTCAATGTTACTTATCCGAATCTACATACATTCTTTTCTAATCCATCTTCTATGACTTCCCGTGTTATCTTAACTACAAAAAATAATTTTGTTGATGAAATAAATGACATGCTTATACATCAACTTCCCAACAATGCTAAAATATATACTGCAATTGATGAAACTACAGAACTAAGCGACCAATGCCAATTTGAAGATTTTCTGCACACATTAAATCCTCCTAATTTGCCACCTTACAAATTAACTTTAAAAAAAATTGTTCTGTTATATTATTGCGAAATTTAAATCCTTGTGAAGGATTATGTAATGGTACAAGGTTAATATTTCACGACTTTAAGTCACATGTAATAAGTGCTACTATTGCAAGTGGTGATTTCAAAAATACACATGTATTCATTCCGAAAATACCACTCTTAACATCACAAGATGAAAAGTTACCCGTTGCTTTCAAAAGAATACAATTTTCACTTCGATTATGTTTTGCTATGACAATTAACAAAGCTCAAGGTCAGACATTAGATTTTGTTGGAATTTATTTACGTGAGCCAGTATTCTCTCATGGCCAACTCTATGTTGCTTTATCTAGAGCAAAGAATTTAAAAAATATAAAGATACTGATACGCCCACCAATAGCAGAGGATAAAGATGATCATTCTACCTACAATATAATTTATGAGGAAGTCATTCGAAAAGCATTCCCTTAAATTAAGTATATTTATGTCAATGATGATTTATTACTTCTCCTTCCAACCTGTATAAATATGGCTACTGATACATTCGGGGAATTGCGCTTACAAGTAACTACATGAGCAATTGATTGCTATTCGTGAATCATATATGGTACTCTATTAGGTCTGTGATATTTGAGATTTCAAATAAAGTTCGCCTCATCCATCTTTTTGGATCCTTATTATCAATTCACACTCACTCTTTCATAAGGTAAACTATACTAATTGAGTTAAGGTAACAACCTGTATCAGTATCAATTGCTTTCTTCATGTTTCTGCATTTCTTTACTTACCTTTATTCTCATATTATCTTTGTTTTTCTTTTTTTCAACAGTTTTATTCTCTTCTAGCTAGATCAGTTTCTATATTTGTTGGTCTTCTCCATTGCGTTTATGATGACTGATTGTAGTAGGTCTTCAGTTTTTCCTTCTCTATCTCGGCGCATATGTTTCTGTATCTTCTAAACATTTGAATACTGACTTTTTGAGTTTTCAGTTACCGGAGATCTTTATATACCTGAAAATTTAAATGTCTTCATTGTAAGAAGAATTTGGGACGTAGCTGGGCAGTGGACTTTACCAATAATTCTGCTTCTCCTTCCTCCCGCCATATCCCTTATCAGGTTTTCTTTCTAATCCTCTGGGTTTTTATACCTTTCTTTTTTGGATTTGCTTGGTCTGCTATTCCATGTTTGTGTCGTTGTGTACATGCAGAACATTTATGGATTCACTCTCAAAACACACATGCATCCTGATCAGCGAGGTACAACCAGAAATCATGTAAAGGGAAAAAGAGGAAATTTCTAAGTTCTTAGTTTTCGTCTATTCTTTCTTGGTAAGCATGTAAACCTTTATTCTATTATATAGAATCTTCATTTTCCTATGAAATTCTAATTTGTGCTGCTTTATTTTCCTTTTCAATT